TAAAGCATTTGTGACTACCACGATTAAATATTGTTTTTTTATACCCCTAAAACAGTATATATATATATATATATATATATATATGTATGTATTCTGATTATCTAATAATGCCAAAATAAACCATTGGTGCAATCAACCTAATAACCGCCAGGGTTTATAATAAACTGCAATCTTCGGATCTTCCTCAGAAATTTTTTCCATGCAATCTCCAATATCCTATCACACACCTCTAGTGCAACACAACCTAAGTACTACTTCTAATAATCAGTGCAGCTCAAATTAATTTTGTTTTTAACTGTGCTTGTCTTTTATGTATTTTATGAAATATTTTAAATGTTTGTGCACAAATTTGACACTAAAAGCTACTTTTGCCTACTTTTTTCTAAAACATGTATATGGAATTGGTAAAGCATTAATATTATCAATGAAACTAAAAAATAAATTTATAAATCTTGTCTATAATATATTGTTGTAATCCACTATTGATTTCATTAATTGTTTTTAATCAGAATAACGTAAATTAGATGTAATGAATTATATTTATGATGATCTTAATAGAGTGTCGCTCTTCTGGAAAAAGATTTGAAAGCAAGAAATGAACAGGTACACTTCATGGAGAGAGAATTAGTTCTATCTGGAGATCAGGTCAATAATTTAGAACGACAAATGACGGAAGTGAAACATCGGGTAATAATATTATGATGCAAATTCTTCTCTTACTTTTCTTTAAAAAAATTTTTTCTCTGTAACTTTTTTTTCTTATTATTTTATGATTTCTTTTTCTGAAGTAGAGCTTCTTTAGAGTTTCAAAATTCATAATAATTCCTGGAATAATATGTTGTAACTTTGATTTTTTAACTATGCTCTGAACAATTTTTTTTACAAAAATCTATTTTAAACATTTTTATTTGAAGGAAATCTATGTAAAACTAGATGTAATTCAGTTGACAAAATTTCTTTGTTTTTTCTACAATATTTACTCTATTTTTTGGTGCATAAAAGATAAAAGAAAAACTAATAAAATTAGCTTTGTTTTGTTTAAAAAAATTAGTTATAGAAAGTTTTTCATTAGATCAATGCATTTTAAAACAAAATTTATTTAATTGAAAAGGGAAAAAAAATAATGGGAACAAATAATAGAACAAGAACTAGGTTAAAAATATAAGTAATTTTTAAATGAATTGAAAGTATTTATTTAGTTAGTTTAAATGACTCAGTGTTTTGCATTTTGGCTAGTTTGCTGACAAGTTTTTTCTTTTCTGGTTGAATATTTTTGAGAGTTGAATATTTGTTTTTCGCTGAAGAAAAAACATCCTAGTGTAAGAATCTTTTCAGACATTGAAAAAATTCAGTTGGTTTAGGGTATTAAATTGAAATTGCTAATTATTAGAAAATAAGTATATTATCATAAAATTTTCTATTGTGCATTTTTCTATATATGTATAAAAACTAGAAAAAATTGTGTTTAAAATGCATAAAAAAATTTTTTTCATTAATTTCTTTATATCCTTCAAATAAATGTTTTAGCATGTTTCTTATTTAAGGAGTGTTTTCAAATCAAACTAAATTTGAAACAAAGCATAGTTTTTATTTTTTTATTATGTATAAGTGTTTCAATAAATTGTCATGTTATATATGCTTTTTTCCCCCTTTCTGCTATGTCACAGTTGGGTGAAAAAGATGAAATGATTTCTCAACTAAGACACGAAAATCGTGAGATCAGGAGTGAAAACCATGAAAATAGAGCTAAAATGCAAGAGAAACTTGCTAATGAAAAAGATAAAATGAAGAGAATAATGGTAAGATCATACACCTACCAAAATAGATTTTTTATGTATAATTGGATTGTTTTGAAATGTTTATATTGCTTTTGAAACTTGCCATTATGACTGCTATCTCAACGCTAAAGTTAAAAAAGTTTTTATAATCCCCTTAAATAAACACTGATTCAATTGTTTTCATATTAGTTATTTACATATTAGAGAATATTAATAACACTCCTATGTTTGGCATGACTTATTAATCATACAGAGTAGTTTAAATTATCCTTTTTAGACCAGCAAATTGTTTGTTTCAGCGGACAGAAGTTGATGAAAATCAGTTTATGTGTTATGTGAACCTTAAAAACAAAATGTGCAATTGAAAAAACTTTTTCACTGTCAGATAGCGTTTTTTGTGTAAGAAAAAGTAAGTTTATGCAATTTAGGGTTGTTTAAAGAGCCAGTAATCACTGTCATAAAATTATTCCATACCAGATCATAACAAAAGAAATTATCACAAACAATTATGCACTAGGAAGTTAGAAATGTGTGCAAGAAATTATTTAAAAGAAGTTTTTTAATGAAACTGACTTGAAAGCAAACATAATACTGTATGTTTCTTTAATAGATCAATAAATCTTTTGTGTTATGCTTAAGTTCATGTGTGTTTTTACATTGCATTAATTAAATAAAGTTTTAATATTCAAATTTTATTTGTTTTTTTCTGTGTGTTCTTGATGGTCAAATTTAAGTTAATTTTATTTTTATTTGAAATTTCTTTTTCCACAGGTCCTCACAATATATATGTATATTGAGTTTAATTGTCATTTATCAACTAATGAATCTATATTTTTTTCTTATTTAAAGGAGAGAAGATTGGCTGAAAAGCAAGCTGAGTTGGAGGGAAAATTATGCTTCAGTGGTGAAAAGTTTAGGTTGCTAAGAGAAATATTGAATGCTGGTGAATGGGATGACCTTATAGATATGAATGGCCCGCCACTACCCTCAGCTGGTCCCTCTACTGTTCCTTCTGATTCATCTGTACCACAAACGAGATCCAAAAAAAGATCTTCTGCCAGTGAATCGTCAGTAACAGAAGTGAAAATGACCATTTCAAGATCTTCTAATGGTAATAAGACATGTATTGTTATAGCTTTCATCATGTAAGTTTTGAATATTTTGTAATCTAAGATTATTTAGTGAAGATAGGATTTTTTTTCATTACTAATGAAGAGGTAAATAACTTAATATGATAAGACTTTGTCTGCTATATACATCTTTTTATTATTCTTATCTTTTGTTCACTGAAATACCTGAAATGCAAATGCCAGCTCTAAACACTTTATTTATATTTTAACTTGACATGAAAAGCTGAATAGTGTTTCCATTTGGCTTGACTGTCACATGGATTAACTTTAATAAAATGAAATAATATTTAAGTACTTAAAAAAAAAAATTCTTCAAAATTTTTTCCTTAAATTAATCTCCATTAATTTCTTTAAAACTTCAAAATTTTAGAAAGTAATTTTTCCTGCTGAATTATTCAAAAGATGCCTTTCTGAAGCATCAGAAGAGAAAGAAATGCTCACGATTTTTTATTCTCATTCTCATCAAATTCGATAAATACTTGCATCTGCCAAATTTCAAATGGCTAATATATTTATATATATATATATACTAGGGGCAGGGATGAGATTCTTCCGCGGATTCGCGGATTTCCGCTTTTTCTCAGATTTTTCCATTTTTCCCGCTAATTTCCGCTGAAATTCTTTTTTTTGCTCAAGTTAAAATATTTTATGAGGAATTAAATTTTCCGCGGACCGAAATTATTAAAGTCCTCATTCCTCCCTCTGAAGTTTCTCTAAAAATCATTTCCTTGGGATAAAACTGGTTGATCTTTATACAGGGATGAGATTTTTTTCGCTTTTGTCTCTCGAATTTCAGCCTTTTTATCAAAAACTCAGATTCTCTAAAAGTTTCGTTTTTTTTAAAATTTATTTATTTATAAATATTCCGTGTTTTTTTTAAAAAAAATTCAGTCGTTGAAGTCAAATTATTATATTTATTTACGATTTTCAAAGAAAAACAGAAAATTCAAACTACGTCCTAGCTGCTAATCCTTCCGCATGTTTACTTATATTAGCTATTTTCTCCGATTTCACGCACAGAAAATAAGATTTTCCGTATTTTTTATCCGTCGGCGGGATAGCTCGTATTTTCGTAATTTAGACGTCGCTGCTTCTTGTATTCTGGAGAGAAAGCAAACAAAAAAAGCGAAAAAAAATAGAGGTGGATTTGTGGTGAAAATATTTATTTGCTCATTCAATTAATCTTGTAAATTTTTATTTATTGTGTAAACAAAAAACAATTCAAACAAGCCTTTTAGAAATCCCAAGTCCAGACTCTGCAAATATCTCGATTTTTATTCACGCGATTTTAATATCAATCATCGATTTTCGTATTTACCTGATTTAAAAGTTGCGCATTGCAATTCTTATTTACGCTTTTTAAATATCGTACATTATGACTCGTATTTACGAGATTTAAAAATCTAATATCGTGTTTTGTATTTTTGCATTTTTAAAATCGCGATTTTATTATCAAACATCGATTTTCGTATTTACCTGATTTAAAAGTTGAACGTTGCGATTCTTATTCAGGCCATTTAAATATTGTACATTGCGATTCTTATTTACGAGATTTAAAAAACCAATATCGCGATTTGTATTTACGAGCTTTTAAAACCCTATGTAGCTACGCGAGCTTAAAATCCAATGTCGTGATTCGTTTTTGCGGTTGTAATATCGCGCGATTTTAAAATTATGCATCTTGATCTTAAAATTACGCATCATGATTTGTATTTTCGCATTTTTTAAGTTCGATGTAGAGTTTCATATTCACGTGATTTAAAAGCCTCATTCGGGATTTATAATCACATGTATTACAAGTTTAAACAAAAATTTGACAAAAAAGTGAGATTTTTATATATATATATATCTATATATATTCTTGGATTTCCTCTTTTTTACACTCTGACTACTCTCATCCCTGACTAGGGGGCTCCGCCCCCTGCTCGCTACCGCTCGCCAACCCCCGAGAATTGCTACGCAATTCTTTTTTGTTTGCTTCGCAAACAAATTTTAATACATTTATATAAGGATATAAATGCGCGGCAGAGCATAAGGGATTTTATTTAACAATGTACTAATCAACTTAATAATCAGTAAAATACAAAATTTTTAGTAAATTGCAAGGAATTCTATCATAATAATGAGATTCGAATACATATATATTAGAAGTTATTATAAGGGCATTAGCCAGAACTGAAGTTCCGTTACCGAAGCACGCGTGGCAGAGCAGATTTGATTCAATTCAGAGGGAATCATATACTGGATGCTGGACGCTCCCTTTAGAGTGCTTCCTCCCCCCCCCCAATTAATTGACATTCAAATTATAAAAACAAAAATAAAAAACAATCACAATTTACCATAATGGTTATCAAAATAAAAACTATGCAAAAAAGTAAGATATTTACAAAACTTCTGCATAAACAATGTTCTTAAAGCAACATGATTAAATTCAAAGGGAATCATATACTGGATGCTCTCTTTAGAGGGCATCACCCCCCCAATTAGTTTACATTCAAATTATAGAAACAAAAATAAAAAACATAATAACAATTCACCATAATGGTTATCAAAGAAAAAAATATGCACAAAAATAAGATATTAACAAAACATCTGTGTAAACAATGTTCTTAATTGAGGAACTTTCAATGTCACTATTTGCACCAACAATCTGAATTTTTATCCCAGACATGCTCCGGCACCTTGATAAAGCTGGTTGTGGCCATTGCGTTAACTTCCCCACGAAGAGCAACACAGCTTATACCTTTAAATTGAATTTCTTGGTTTGCACAAAATGCTGCCATAGCAAAAGACGAATTGTGAAAACGTATATTTTGCCTGAAATTTATTGAGTCATTGTCATTTCCCAATAAAAGCTGTTTCAAAGTTTCTGGATACGGATGAGTTGGGTTCAGCTTTATCTTGCCATTGTGACAGCAATTGTGTTTTATTCTTCCATGCTCTGCTACAAAGGATAGTGCCCTGCAATGAGAGCATTCTACAGACATAGATTCAATCAAAAGAGGTGGACAGTCATCACTGTACGATTCTCCCAAATACTGATTTTCATCTATTTCTCGAAGAGGATTAGCTGCCCTACTTCGATTTTCTCTTTGGCGGGCATTAGTAAGCTCTCGATTATTTTGTCGATTTATTCTTCGACTCTCTTGTTCATTTTGACGAAACGTGGGATCCAATCTCCGCTGTCTGCGATATTCTCGATCGCGATCTGTCCTGTCAGACATTATACTGAAATTCCAAATGATTGAAATGAGTTGAATAAATAAATGTGATTTAAAATTTAACCATTTTAAGGTAAGCAAGCCTCAGTAAGCTTTATAATAGCAAACAACAAAAATGTGAACATTAAAAGATATCAATCACTGGATAGGCATAAGAATGATAAGATAAGATGAGATGTAATCAGCAAAAACCAACTCAAAGTAAATCAACAAAAAGCTTTGACGCGAATGCATTCTCTTTTCTGATTGGCTTAAAACTGCATCCTCGCTTGGATTGGCTACTTCTTTCATACTGGCACGTGATACCTTAGATTTCATTGGCTGGTGCGACACCATCATTGGATTTTTATATATAGTTAGATAACATGTATTCTCAGATCAAGTTTAAAAGGTAAGCAAGGAGTTTAAAAGGTAAGCACTTCACTTTGGAAATCATGTTCCTTCCTTTCTGTGAGGCATTTTGTCTCTTGGTTCTTTTTTAAAGAACTCCTCAATAAGGATGACCAAGGATTATTTCAGTTATAGCTTATTTATTTCATTATTCTGGATTAATATAATTATTTACAAAAAAGTTACATAAGCTGTTGAGTATAATGTTTCGGAGCGCTATTGCTCCCTTTTTCGTTCATGCTTTTTCTATCATAGTTCAAGGTTCAACTAAAACTCAACTCTTCTGCGTTCAAAACTAATCTGATCTAAAAAATCCTCTTTCTCCTCAGAAACAGTCATTTGCTCCACCCCCAAGGTAGGGGACGACACCTTTAGTGTGTTCACCCTCTGACCCTCAGATCAAGGGGTCAATCCAATGCGTGGGAGAGGAATCAGGATCCTGACACTTTCATTTTTTTAAAGGACACCGTCTTATACATTTTAATTAAATATGACTGTGAGTGTGTTTTGCGTTACAGATTCAAATTTTTAGCAAAAGAAATTATTAATCAATATAATACATTTCCCTCCTTTTTTTATATAAATTTGGTTGAATAAAATCTATCAAATACTTTTAATATAGCACATATGAAAATTTTATATCACTCATTTTAGTCATTTTTGTCGTTTACAACTCGCACTGATTCCATCGTAAATACATGTAGTAATTTGATAATTTTTTCAACAATTATTGCTATAACAATTATTTTTATTTTTTAAATCAGTGTCTTTTATTGCTCAGTTACTATTATTGATATTGTAATTTTTAAAAAAAAAAAAAAAAAATTTCCGATACTATTAAGGCACGCAAATTTCGAATCGCAGGATCAAACTCTGCATCGATATCATCTTTGATCCATACGATGTTTCAATGTTCCTTCGACATTTATTGCTACAAATTTAAACATTTTTTAGAAAAAAATCCTTGATGTCTTTTAAACAATTTTAATACACATGAAACTCTAATTGCTTATATGATGATTTACTTTTATAATGCTACAATTTCATAATTTCTTTGACATTTTAGTTATAGCTAGGGCTACCAATTTCCAGTTATCACTCAGTTGATATTATTTCTACATATAACATTTAAATCACATATTCAAATAATCATTTCCTGGTGCAAATTAAAAATTTACACCAGTAATATCGTAAATCCGTATGATTTTGACGTAGTTTTTAAACTTCGATATTTTTAACACAAGGCTTATCACAACAACCGAATCTGGAAACGAAACACTTATTTGAGTAACTCTTTTTCACGAGTGTTCGTCGTCAATCTTTTTTTCTAGTTACTGCAACGGATTTCTGAATTTATAATTAGTTTTTCTAATGTGATGATTTACAAATGCGAAAAGGATAATTACCATGTTTTACCCTTTTGAAGAATATCACCCATAGTATTAGAATAAAAAAATATTGCATATTCTGTTAAAAGAAATTATATGCAATTTATTTTATCCAAATAGAGTTTTTCCTTGTGAACGATGCTTTTATTACTTTAAATTAGTATATATATACATATTAGTTATTATTAAAAGTATCTTACAGTAAGATATTGGTACTTTAGCAGTTTGTTGCAGAAAGTCTGAAAAAATTCTGCCACATGGTTCTCAGTAATCAATCTGTATTCTGTTAATGGTATGAATTCTTTCTGGGGTACTTAAAACAGACTTTGCTCTAATATTGCTGTTCGGTTAACAATAACTTTCTGACCGAGCAAACACTTTTATCTTTCAGAAATACAATTATATAATATCATGCAATAATATTGATTGCAAATATTTTAGATGCCTCTCTAGTTTAAAAGTCATCAATTTCATTTGGTTCTAATTTTTCAGATTTAGGTAATGCTGCCAAGAAAGTGCGCTCTCATCGTTCCAGAGAGGAAATCATCCCAGTTTCAAAAAATGAGTTTGATTCTCTATTTGCAAAAGAGAATAAACCTCCAAGTTCATCACAAAGGGTATGTGTTTATTTTTCTTGAGATTTCTTCTCAATTTTTTTTCATTGTTTTATTAGTTTATAAAATTTTTTTTTAAAACTATGATATGTAGAATTTTATTAGCCATGAATATCATGTTTTGTAAATTCAGGAATGTAGCTTTTAGACAAGGAGTGAATTTGCTTCTCAAAAATAGATTTTTATCAATTCACAATAACAAAATACATTGTTATGAATATACTCGAGCAGTATCTGTACTATTTATGTTAATATTACTACTCTGTAGTGTTAAAAAGTAAAATATTTCATGTTATTAAAAAAAAGAATGGCATGATGATTGGCGAAATTTTATTGTGTAATTATGATTCCCTTCTCTCTCTCTCTCTCTCTCTCTCTGTTTTTTATTTTATTTTATTATTTTTTTTATTTAAAAAAAAACTTAAAATTGTTGTTTTAATATTTTGTATTTTAATTTTAATGTATTTTTTTAGTGACAATGAAATTTAACTAAGAATTTCCTTGGTAATCAAAACATTTATTATCCAACTTCGAAAAAAAAAAAGAAGCAAATTTGTACAAGCAAATTTTTGTTTCATTAGTATCCTAAATACAGCTAGTTGATTTGTTCTAAAATTATTTTTTTTATTTATAATTTGTCGATTTATTATTTTAAACAATTGGTAATTTTTTTTTTTTTTTTAGAGTATTGCTATTGCAAATCTGCGTCATAGAAGAACATCTAGTTCTGGTGATGTGTGGGTAGAACATAAGCCGGTTGGAAATCTGGAGTTAGGTAATTGTATTAAATAATTGAAAAGCAAAGTAGATTCACCTTTTAAGTACTATTTTTTGGGGTAAAAATATTTATTGGAGAAAGTACTGTTATCAACAGGGGTTTCCAACTGGTGGCCCGGGGGCCACATCTGGCCCGTGAAGCCTTTTTTTGTGGTACACGAACTAAAATATATTAGTTGTCATTTTTTTGTGGACAATTTTCATAAAAAATCTATATGGCTTTAAAATACTTTTCTCGTTAATAAAAACCTAATTTCTTCATTTCTGTAAAATTTAACATACCAACGGTGCAAAAAAAATTTTTTCTCAGGTTTTTCATCCCAGAAAATATTTATTCAAATACAAACATAATCGTGTATGTTGCTCTTTTTTATTTCATTTTTTTGTATTTTGTGAATATAATTTAGCATGTGCGTATCAGAAATTCTCTCAAAGAAATTCTCCGATTTAACTTTTTGAAACCACTTATTTTGGGCGTAAATATATGCACACACTTATAAATTTAAAATGTAAATATCTATTCTCTAGTGGTTGTAGCAGACAAACCTTAATTTTCTCATTAAACATTTTGTGTGCTACTATGTAAGTTTTAATACCAACCTTTTTAAAGTTTTATGTCTTAACAATTAGATATCTGTTGCACATTAATTATTTAATGCATAGGTGCATATTAAAGTTATTGTAGCCCAATTTTTTTATTAATAACAATTAAATATTTTTAAAAATCTACTTCTTATTTTAATTTGTAATTCAATACTTTTGTTTTGTACAATTTGGTAAAAATCTGACAGTAATATTTAATGTTCCTTCAAACATAAAAGAGTCCTACATAAAATTTTGATAAAGTTGCGGCCCGCCATTTGATTTGTGTTTTTAATTGTGGCCCCCGGCCTCATGTAAGTTGGAAACCCCTGATATACAACATTAATTTATTTTGCTACCTCTTATCATTCCAAAGCTCTCAGATAAAGGTACTAAGTGGCAATCTTTGAGTGTTTTTGGTGTTAAAAAATGATCCAAGTGCAATTGACAACAGTCAGTGAACAACATTTAAAAAATCTCTATCTTGGCACAAGGCTGAGATACAAAGAGTATGAACGCTGAAGTTTGAACAGTTCAAATGAATGTAAGATTAAAGATTTAGAATTGGTGATCTAAATTAAAAAAATAAGATAAGAATGAAAGTGTTTACATAGTTTAATTTACTAATACAGTATATGTGATTCATTGTTTCTTGTGGAATCTTTTATTATGAACTATAGATATTTAAAAAAAAAAGAAAAATGAATGTGTGTCCTTAAAACTTATTAAGCATAACATGAAATATTAAGTGACTTGAAAATTAATGAAGAGTAATTACAGAATAATAAACTTTAAAATTAATAAGTTTACTATAAGTATGAAAAATTATGTGCAATTTGCAAAAATACCTGCAATGCAAGAGAATGAACAAATTTATTTGAAGGAATTTGGTCTACATTGGTTCCATTCGTTTTTCATAATTCAAGATTTCATGATTTTTGACAATTGTCAAAAACAATGCCAATAGTTTTTTTTTTTTGACAGGATGGTTACAACAAGATAAAACCGTCAATTGTTAAAAACTTTCCAACCCTGCCTAATTATGATATTTTTTTAAAGTGCTTAAATTTTTTTTTTTTTTTTTTGAATGCTTGAAAAGTGCTTATTTTTTGTTAAATAATTTGGCTACACACCCTGACATGGCAAAGCAAAAGATTTTGGAGCAGTTGATAAAGGTTCGACTGTATAGGAATAAAACACTACTAAAACAGTTTTTTGAAATTTAGTTTTTAGTAAAACTTGCTTTTTTATAGATTTAAATTTTTTTGCATAAATATTTAATGAAAATGATATTTTCCAATAGAAATGGTTTATTTTAATTAAAGCTATTGCTAATTAATAGGAGTAATTGTACCCATAGTTAAACATTTATGCAATTGAAAAATAGACTTGATAATGTTCAGATTGTTTGATGATTTTGCTTTTCTTACATATCCTTTGTGTCAGATATTTGTAGTTCCATTTCGTATTTGAATTGTTTACATTCTGTAAACATTCTTAACACAGTCATATATTCTTCTTACTAGCGAAATAACTTATAAAATTATTATTTTTGATCTTCTACACAAGTTTTGCTGTTATCCTGAAATCGTCAGTGATTGGTAAAAATTTGAAAGCTATCATTGTAACTTTCAAAGTGGTTATATAGTTTTGACAAATAAATTTGTGTAACTAAAAACAGGACTTTTTACAAAATTATATTTATAATACTTTAATATTTAATATACTTTAATTAAATAAAATATTGGAAATGTACATTAAATAATTAAGCCTTTTTGAATTATAGCATCAATAACTTAGTAATAAAGTATAGTCTCCCTTAAAGATTAAATTCTTTTCCATGATTAGAAATAACTTTTGAAGCTAAATTAACTGTGCGATTATGTATCTTCATTTTTATTTTTTAAAAATTGATTCCCTACAGCTGTGAAATACAATTTTTTTTATTCCAATGGAACTTTTAAATCACTCTTATAGATGGTTTTATGTGCTATAAAGTGTTATTTATTTATTTTTTTCTCTTTTGAAAAAAAGAAAGCTAAGAGAGAGAAAAGAAAGCTGAGAATTTCAAATATGTTGAAGGAAAAAAAAGCAGCAAAACTGTTGTATTGTAAATAACTGAATTTAATGTTTCATGATATCTGTTAAGGCACTGTTTTGCAACCAAAAATGAAGAAGCGCCGATCAGTAACCAAATTGAAAGTAAAAGATGTCACCAATAAAGATGCTTCCAAGTATGTTCTCGAACACCAGGAACAAGATTCGCAAGGAGATATTGAGACTCAGTTATACAAGGTATGCTACTAAGTTTTTTTTCCTCTGAGATTAATGATATTGCCTCTGTCAGGAAAAAGAACAAAAACATTTATAATGACTCGAACAGAAAAGTCTTTGATTAAAGACATACTCATAACTTGTAAAGTCACTAACGAAAGAGATCGGTAACACTCATATGCTCATGGCCCTGATACATAGTAACTATATTGACAATACAGCAGACAGTATCAAATTGGTTTGTCAAATTTCGTTCAGATAATTTATTGTAAAAAATTCTCTTTAGTTCTGTTATTTTGCTTATTATTTTATGTTATTGAAACATAAAATAAACTGTTATGAAAATTTTAACCATAACAAGTTTGCCAAAAATACAAACCTGCTTTCAATTGTTATTTTTTATTAAAATAATGCATCTCAAAGAATAATTAATTTTACTACAAAAGTTGGAAACTAGATCACAAACTATATTTCTATGCAACAACATCTTTAAATTTTTTATTGTGAGGATAATAAAATTTTTTTTTTAAATATTTAGATTTTTATAAAAAAAAAAAAAAAAAAAGACAAGAACGTAAAGGGGTGTGGTNAAAAAAAAAAAAAAAAAAAAAAAAAAAGAATTACCGCTATTAAAGCTATTTTTTTATCTTACATTGTTATATTGACTTGTTAATTTTTTTATTCCAAACAACTTTTAGGGTGATATAATACCATCTGCTGGTGGGGGAGCTCAAATAGTTTTTAAAGATGTTGAAAAGCTACGCCAAGAATCACCACCTGCTGCAGCTGCACCTTACAATTTTAGGTTAGTTTTTCAAGCACATTCTTCAATATTTTAGTTTCTAATCCACAGATTATAATTGGTATTTCAAAGAATACCAGGATGTTATGTCAACATGCAAAAAATGCATTACTGTTTTTAGTTTCTTGTCCAAAGAAAAAATTCTAGAGGCTTAACTGAAGTGTTTCATTTTATGTGTGGAAGTAAAATAAATTATGCCTTAGAAGAGTGTTGAACTAAATATCAAAATATCAATACCTCTCTTTCTTGCATTGCAAAAAGGGGTAAATTTTTTAATATTTTTAAGGGATGTTTGATATATTAAAATCGAACATTTGATAGATAATTTTAATTATATAAATAATTAGAATGCTGGTATGTGAGAAAAAAATGAAAATATTTGTACATTCAAAAGTGAGGAAAGAAGTCAGGGCTGAAGCACACACAAAATTTAAAATTCAGTAAATGTATTTTAGTCCTTATCTAAAATAACAATACCCATAATGTAACTCTTTTTATGATGCAAATTCTTTTTAATTATGGAATAAAGTTTGCTAAATATTTTTCAGCTCTGAATATCAAAATTTTTTATTGAGTATTGCATCTATTTTCTGTGGTCAGTTTATCAAGTTGTTGTAGGCTTTGTTTTGTTAAGGAACTGTGTTATTAAAGTAAAACTTTCTGAAAGAAATTTTTTTAACAGTCACCTGAAAATGTTATGAAATATTTTCACTGTGTTAAGATTTTTTTTTTCAAAATGGTTATTTTATTGTTTTCTCATGCCATTATTCAATTATCAATAATATAGTTATATAAAGCATATATGAGCAGCACACAGCAATTTTACTTTAAATTAATTTTCTTTCATAGAAAGAGAAGCAATGAAGGTTTACCACTTCGAGAAATTGAGGACCGGGTAAGTTTATGTTTCAAAGAATTAAGAATCTTACATATTTTATGGAAAGTAAAATGAGATTAACAATCTCATACAATTACTGGTTCAAACCACCAAATGATAAATGTAATAAACTGCAGCTAAATATAGTAAGGAACTAAAATGACTTGAACTCAAGCTGGCATTTAAAATGCTACTAAAATCAGGGTGAGGCAACTATGGTTACTATTTTTATATTCAATAAGTGATAACACGAGTATTTAAAATTTCAACCTTTAAAAAACCGTTGAAGCTCTATCAAATTTTTTTTTAAATGCGATAAACAGCGGCTAAATAAACAATCAAAAAAGGGATGTGGATTTATGATAGAATGTTAGCAAATCAAATGTGTTAAAAAGTGATAACTCAAGTTATGTTAGCAGCTTTGTCAACTTATTTGCATGCCTTTTGTAAGAAATAAGCAGGTTTAAAATATAAGTGAATGTATTGTTATTAAGATCAAAAAAGAGGTATTACTCATCATATGGACACATTTTTTAAGCAAAATTATTTTAATTCTTCCTACATTTTTTTAGCATTTGAAACCAAATGTTCAATCACTATGTTAATATATTCAATTTAATGTTTTTAGTGCACAGTAGCTGTTGAGTGTCATGGAGTTCCATCGAAAGTCATGTAAGTTCACTATTTTTTTCTTCTGTTATATTTAGGGTTGATATTGTAATATGTAATGCTAAAGCAGGGTTGTCATTCAAATATAGAAAAAAATTCTCAGTGTTTAAATTGTACACAATATATTAAAAGGAAACGCATAATGTGTTCATTTATGAGCTATATTAGCTATAGTAGTTTTAATTACTGAAAACTTGAAGAAATAAGAAACAGTTCAACATATTTTATGTATAAATATACTCAGCTAAATGAAATTGTATAGTATGGCTGAACTATCTTAAAATATCCCACTTTGAGAGGTTACCAAAGTTAATTTCCTGTTATTTCTGAGTTTATAAGGAAATAATAAAAATTCCTTGTAGATGATTTTTAAATGCTCAGTTTTCGTTGTAGAGTACCAACCCTGTAAAGTTTCTCATCCTATTTATATCCATGGCTTAAAAAATTTGTTATGTAATCTAAAATTTCTGATAAAGATCTAATTATTAGAAGAATATAAAAAAAACTAGGTCAATAAACTAACTATTGATTACGAATACTAAATTTCTTTACCGGAAAAGTGTTTTATGAAAAATTTGGTTTTATTTTAATGAACATTATTTTTTTTTTCATAGAGAAATTTCGATTGTTTCATGAATTATGGACATTTATTCAAAAAAAATTATCTAATTTTTTTTTCCCAACATCTTTTACGTAAAACTTGTTTTATATGATTTACAAAAATATTTCTCTATTGAAAAACGTTATTGTCTTATATATTTACTGGAATCTTTATTTGATGACATTTCTTTAAATAAAGAGAACATGCTTCAAGAAGAAACAACTAAGTAACTTTCATAAAGCAATGGATGTAATTGAATCAGCCAAAATGGCACTTTTTGTGCTGATTCTTCCTTAACAAATCGTATGCAAAATGAAAATTTTTAATTTCGTTTCATTGTCAAAGATATTCTTCTCTTTCGGGAAAAAATATAAATATTGTTCTTTGCAAACACAGAGAACAATATTGATACATTTTCATGATAGAAATGTTTAAATTTGTTTTAATTTTTAGATTTCATTCTTTTTACTTTTTAATTGATTATTACAAGTAATAATTGATTATTACATGCAATTATAAGTTTGTTTTTGTGATTTCTTTTAAATTGCTTTATTTGAAGTAAAGTTTTGGGAATGTCTCCATGCCGAGAATATTTATATTTTTATTCTTTATAGAAAAATAATTTTAAAACTTGTATTTTTTAGATATTCTTTTTATTTCTTTACTTTACTTAATTATTACTGTTAATAACTTATTTGTTAGTTATTGTTTACAAGTGTTATTTTTGACTTGTTATAAATTGCTTTATTTGTATAAAGTTTTGAGAATGTCTACTACAGCTAAGAATTTATTATTTTCATTTCTGGAATTAGTCAAGAGTTCAAAAATGTATTATTCTAGAAAATAAACAAATGAATGTAGATGAAACTGCCAACAGAGCTACTCAATTTATTGAAATTTAAAGTTCTTTATTTTATTCTATGGAAAGAAATGTATACATACCTGCTTTAAAAAAAAACAAACTTGGATTATTTATTCATTCATTGATTTTTTTGTGGCTGGGTTTGTCGTCGACCTTCTGAGCCCAAGTCTGCGGGTTCGATCCCCGGCCCAGACACTGGATTTTCGGGACTGGAATCCTCAGCGGCCATGTCGTATGATTATGCAGCCTGTAAAAGATCCCTGGGGGTGCCTTATTGGCTCTTGGCACTTTAGCATCCAAATAGAGTCTCGGTGCTGCCATCTAGTGTGGCAGAAACTAGACGTCCAAATTAACATGACCAACGGTATCTCACCCATTGTGGTGGTCCTAAAAGAGTGGATACCACCTCTGGAGAATGCACTAGGTCTGCTCATTGGCAAGACCGATTGTGCAGCTCATTGGAAATTAAATTTTTTTTTATTCATTTTGCAAAGTTCTCTTTACTCTCTCTACTTTATTCTCTCAACTAGTTGTAGAAAAGTACCTTCATTTTTGTAATTGAAATGAAAAAACAACTAGGGCTTTATAAATCTACATAACAATCTGGATTTCAATTCCAAAAAAAAAAAGAAAAAAAGGAGATTAAAATGAAATTTACACCTAATAAAAGAGTTGAGGCAGAATAAAATATAAAAGTAAATTATATGTAGTGTATCTACCACTACAAAAAAATACAATCCTAATTCACTAGTATATAAGACCTGTTAACTCGATTCTATGGTGGGGTACCTTTACATAGAAGGTTGACATCGTCGACATTCCTAGTAGCTACTCTCCCCACAATAAACATCTTATTTATATATAAACATACATTTTTTATTTAGATTAGGTGTTTGTCTGTATTGACAAAGGAGTCAATTGACTTTAGAGTCACAGCTTTTAAAAAAAGTTTGGAAACCTTTGGTTTTGATAACCAGATGTACTTTCTTTAATATTTTAAAAATTTGGGTATTATCTGTGTTTAGTTATTTTTAAAAGAAAATAATTTAAATCTTATACTTTTTTTTTAATACAGGAAGAAAAAGTAATTACAAGTCTCAAGAACATAGAAAAGAAAGTTGCTGTATATGAACTATTAATTTTTTTACTCCTTTCATTACTCACTATGACGTCCATTCCAGAGCTTGGGGAAAAGTACTTATTTATTGGTTATATTGCAGGGTTGCTCAACCATTTTCTGATACCGGGCCACAAAAATTGAAAATAAATGCTTTGTCGGATGACGAAATTATAAGAAATATATACTGACATTATAGCCATAAAAAGGAATTGTTACAATTAAGTTCAGAATTGCCGTAAGGCAATAAATGAATAAAAAGCCAGGATGACCAGAAGAAAAAAAATTTATTAAAACAAAATTAACTTTCTAATACAGCAGTATTTATATTTATAAATAAATTTTTTTATTAAAAATACTTCATATTGCTCATTATTATACAGTTAGTGGTCCGCAGGCTATAAGTTGTGCATCCCTGATGTATTGTATCAAAATTTGTATTTTAGAAATTATCATACAAGCTTTTATGTTTAGTTGGGGCTTGTTTTATATTAGAGTTCTTGTAAATTTGATTACTTTTAATCGTTTGTAAAAATTTTAAAAAGTATATTTTAATAAATATGTATGTATAACTTTATATTCGTCAAATTTGATTTTAACTTAAAAATTTATTGTTCACTAATCTTGTACTATTGCAAAAAGGTGCATAAAATTTTCAGAATTTAATTCTTTCATAACATGAAAAATTTAGATCTAACTAGTTTAGTATACCTTAGAAAAGTTACAATTTTTTTTTATAAAAAATCTATTTTAACACAAAGTGAACAGGTGGTCTAGTTATAAAGGTTTTGCTCTCTAATTCAGTTCTTAATAAATTTGACTATAGAGAGATTTCTGAAACTAATACCAAACACTAAAGTTTTCATAATATGAGCAAGTTTGCACCACTTTGCAATTCCCTTTCCTTGTGAAACTTATTATTTATAAGACTATTTCATAAGATACCCAATAGTTTTTTTTTGTGGAAACAGTTTATTTTAGTTTACAACTATGATACAAAAAATAAGTTTAAGAGGTAAAATAAATACATACAAATGTCTACAATACAGTTTTATAAATATATTATCACTTGATATAGTCAAGTAAAACATAAAAACAAATAGTACAATAAAAATATAATACTAAAACAGTTAACAAAACAGATTCTATATCACAGGAGATGATCTTTTACTCTTTCTTCTGATGCCTTTCATCTAATAATTAAAAGAAAAGGTTGTCTTAGAATTATTATCTATTTCATTATTTTTTTTATTGCATTACAGATACTTGCATACTTTAAGCATGTACAAATCAAATAGTCTCTTAATAATAAAAGTGGCAACACCTGTGGTCATAAATATGAGCTTAAGATTTAGTAAAATCCTAAAGATATATTTATATTTTATTTCCTGGGACATAAGTACAATAAGGATTAATTTTCAATGAAGGTCAAAATCCATGATTTTCAAGGAAACCCTGGAATTTGCACAAACACAATTTTCAAAAAGCTCCAATGAGTAAATACTTGAAGATGAAAGGGAAATACATAATTTTTCCTTCTTACTTTTTTTCCCCTCAGATAATCGTGCACCTTGATATTTCGGAAGTCAGAATCTCTATGAGCTAATGATTTTCATCTTTGTATAATTGTTGCATTAACTTAATTTTTTTATCGCCAATAAGAAACATTTAGTTCTTGAGATTCTCTGAATTATGACAAATGTAAGTGATTGTGATTTATGAATCCCGGGTCTCAGTGAAGTGATTTGTAAAACACTCATCGAGGTTGGCATTAATATACTTCCAGAATCAAAGTGATACGCATTTAAGTGTTTTCTAAATCATATATCAAAATTCTCATTCAAGCTAATCACGCATTGGGATTAGTGTTTGAGATTCTCATTAAAGGGATTTAGGAATAACTCATAGTAATTCTTTCAGTTACTAATAAATCGCAAATATCATTTTGCATTAAAGTTATCAAAGAATTACGCAGCGTGATTTACATTTGAGTGGTTTGTGTACTGCGATTTAGGACTAGTTACTTTCTGCATTTTTCGAATTGCACCTTGATATTTCGGAAGTCAGAATCTCTATGAGCTAATGATTTTCATCTTTGTATAATTGTTGCATTAACTTAATTTTTTTATCGCCAATAAGAAACATTTAGTTCTTGAGATTCTCTGAATTATGACAAATGTAAGTGATTGTGATTTATGAATCCCGGGTCTCAGTGAAGTGATTTGTAAAACACTCATCGAGGTTGGCATTAATATACTTCCAGAATCAAAGTGATACGCATTTAAGTGTTTTCTAAATCATATATCAAAATTCTCATTCAAGCTAATCACGCATTGGGATTAGTGTTTGAGATTCTCATTAAAGGGATTTAGGAATAACTCATAGTAATTCTTTCAGTTACTAATAAATCGCAAATATCATTTTGCATTAAAGTTATCAAAGAATTACGCAGCGTGATTTACATTTGAGTGGTTTGTGTACTGCGATTTAGGACTAGTTACTTTCTGCATTTTTCGAATTGCATCGTTTCGATTTACGAAACATACGCGTTACGTTTTAATTTGCGAGCCATACATTATTTACGCGACCTTCAAGGCTTGATTCACGTGTTTGTATCAGGTTGTTGTAATATTGTTGATTCACGTGTTCTGTTTGTATACATACAATTTATAAATTTGGTATACTGAATCTTATTCACAAAAAAAAAAATAATAAAATAAAGCTTTATAATTTATGATCTATTTTAAGGTTAAAGTTTTTTTAAATAAAGTTTACTAAATCTCAGTTTGTTATATAATATTATACTGCAAAATATATTATGTCCAAAATGCATTGCTGATATTCAGAGAAAATAAAAAGATATGATTTAGAATTGAAATATTTTTTTTCAATTCTAATATGCTTCATTAAATTTTTCATGAAAGTTTTACTGGTGCCAGTTTTTAAAAGTCGGGCAAATATGTAATGTCAATTGGAATTTTTTTTCTTCTTAATCTTCTGATTTAAATCACAATGTAACTATCAAACTATTCAAGAATGTAAAATTGATACATTTAATATATGCTATGTATTAAAATCCATTTGACATGTATTTTAGCATTATAAATACTACTGAGTAGGTCCTCAAAATGTCCTTGAATTTTTCTTTTAATTGAATGGGAACCCTGGTACATTTCTCACAGCAATTTAACTAGCATTATATATTTAAAAAAAATCACAATAATGCTGCTAAAAAAGCTATCAATAAAATAGCAACATCAAGAATAAAGCATTTTTAAATTTACCTGAAGAATCTGATTCCTCGTCTTCATCACCAGCCTCTAAAATATCAACACAACAAGTAGTGTAGCATATGATACTGAATAGACCAAAGGGAAGGCCAAGTAATACAGTAGTCAATACAGGGTTTCCTTTCCACATACCCTGCAATAAATATTTTCAATGTATGTAATAGAATCTCATTTTCAGGGATAGAAAAAAAGTTATTTTATATTATTTTTAATAAAAAGTTTTAAACCAGGTTCTACTTTTTGTTCAATTAAAATAAAAGGGTTAAAGTAGCAATAAATTAAAAATAAATGAACCATTAAAAAGTATTTTGAAGAAATCTTTTTAGCTATTGACTGATATTTTGTATAAAGCTTATCTATCGCTTTATAACTTTACTTAAACATGGAAATGAAAATTAAACATTATTATATTAGCTTTTTATAAAATGTAATAAAAATTAAATAATTTGGTTAATTTAATTAAAAAGAATGATTAAAAAAAATAAATGTAAGAAATTTTAAAAGTAAGGAAATATGTAATGCCTATTATGGCATCACAATGTATGAGATGCGATTCTTAAAATACTTTAGGTATACTTAATAAAATATTTTGAAATACTTACATATAGGGAAGTTTTGACACTGTAATAAGTTCGATATACTCGATGCATGAAACTTTCTCCTCCAAAAGCCTGTAAAAAAAACATCACGATTAAACTTTTTAACATTAATTTTGTTTTTAAATTTATCAAATAATTTCCAAGCATAAATCTAAATAACATACTTTAATATATAACTACGATTTTCACGCTTATCTAAGTTGTCCAAGGAAATTTTACAAAACAGTAGTTTAGAAATATATTTAATTGTTAACACAATAAAATATTCTAGAAACATGCATATAATTTTCCATGTCTCAAAATGTTGTAAAATATATATATGTGTTGTGTAAGGAAAACTAATTAAATCTATAATAATAAATTTTCATCCTTTGCAAGTTTTGGCCTTCATTTTTTTAATGCATAAACATAAAAATTAGAAAAACAAACTGATTTTTGTTACAATGATATCTTTAATTAAAGAGAAAAAAAATTTAAGAGAAAATTTAGTTACAGTACAGCTCTAATTTTAGAAGAATTTAAAGATAAGAAAAAAGTAATAATGGATTTTCATGGAATTTATAGATTAAAAAAACACACACACATACAAACGTTAGGAAAAAAAAAAAACACAAATAATTAATATTTATGTTTTTTTATGGCAGAAACTCAGAAAATGACATAAAATAATTACTGATATACAATAGATAATACACATGTAAACTAATTTAATGTTAACCAAAGTACAATTTATTTACCATATTCAAATATTACAATGTTTGCACTCTGCAGTAGTCTATAACAAAAGACAAGTTTTGATGTGAGTTCCAAACCTAAACAATTCCTTAATTTATTATGCACAAATGAAAAATTTGAGAAGATTCTCTATAGTCCAGCAGAACTAGCAGTCATGGCCATCAAGGAACAAGCAAAGTTTATTATTACGTTACTTTATTTCATATAAATATTTGAAATACTAAAACTAAACTCAGCGGCGCGGCAGCCCAGAGGGCCAAGGACTACTGTGCCCATCTCAGTTTTCTTGACCTCTGGGGTGCAGGAGCAGATGTTCCGGTTAGGTGGTCAGCCGAACGCGAAACCCCCAGTGTTTAGTTCCCAAGCATGCTTGGTACTCGTTTATCGACCCACTGAAGGGATGAAAGGCTGAGTCAACCTTGCCGGGCCCGAGGATCGAACCAGGGACCTGTGGCACGACAGCGCGAAGCACTCAGCCACCGGGCGTCATTTGAAATATTACACTTTATATATAATATAAACAAAATAATATATTTACAAAGAATGTACTGAATAGTTTGTTACAGTTATAAAAGATGACTAGGCCAAAATTTCTAATGAAGCAATTTCAGTCTTTTAATTTAGCAATTTTTTTTACATTAAATTATTAGCTAATAATTATCAAGCTTTTACAATGATGAAATGAAGTTACATTCTTTAGTTTGCTTTAACGAGTGTCACTTAGCAATTACAAGAACTACTCAAGAAATTTTTTAGTTTCTGCCAGCAAAAAGCCAACCTTTGTTTTAGGAAAACTCAGTGAGTGTGGTACATTATTTTTTTACAATAATTCTACTTTTTTGCTTTCGTAAAGCACTATGAGATTGAAAAATTTTAGAAATAAGACATCAATGGAGCTTAATATTTAAACAAATTGTCTCTCAAATATACAGTTTTAAGAAAATCTGTTTTAATACCTTGAAAATAAAATTAGTTTAGGAAATACAGTAAAAGATGACATACTTGAGCGCTGTCATTCTTTATCTTATCTAAAAGTTCCAAAATACTCTGCGGGGATGGAATTCTCTCATCTTCTTCTAAGTCAGGAGTATAAAACTGATAAGTAGTTGTATTCACTACAATGAGGCTTGGAATCTGTAAAGATTCCATGGCAATATTGTTGGCAATATCAGGTTGCCCAAGCCAACCAAAAATGAAGTAACTGTAAAAGAATATTAAATTTTTTTTAAATAAAGTTAATCATGCAAACATTAAAATTCATAATCTGATAATATATTAACTACAATAACAATATCTGTTTTGATATGTTCTGGTTCCTTTATTTGGATTTTGACTGGAGAGATACTTAAACCTATATTAAATATAAATGAGTTATAAAGTATATATTTTAATTTAAATTTTTTTTTTCTGCAACATATTCTTACCGTAATATATTGTATATATTATATTTAAAAAAAAAAATCATGTATACAAAATCAATAGAATCCATACATATTAGTAGACACAAATGTCTATCGTGTAAAAAGTATTTGAATTTCTTTGAAAATAGTAAGGTTAAAACATGACATTCAGAAAACAGCATATTTTTATTAAGCTAAAGCAATTATATAATAAAATAACTTATAAAATTAATGCACCAAAACTTTTAATTAAAATTGAAAATAAGATTTAACAACTAAAAATATCAGAGAAGGTACATTTAAAAGCATCCAAATTGAATAAATCACAACTCACTTTTCTCTCATTGCAATATAATTAAATTAACAACAAATGATAAATTTCATTAACTTACTCATGAAATAAGTCTTTATTATTTATAGCAATTGCTTCAACCACATCTCGAAATCTATAAATATATAAAAAAGAATTAATGAATAAACTGGAATGTAAATTTTCATGCAAATTATACAGAAAGAAAGGGTCTATCTAGTCTTTTTCTTTTAAAATTCTGGCATTAAAGTTGCATAGTTAAACAATATTTTATACCAAGCTAGTTTAATAATGTGGTCCAACAATAATAACAAGTTGCAATTAATAATTTTTTAAAAAACTAATATTAAACATTTTCTAGAAAACTTAAAGAGCATTATTTTTCCTTTTGAGGTTATTTTGGGTGATTTTTGCAGAATTTATCTAATTTTTTGTTGTTGCAATTTTAAAGAATTGTTTGGTCATCAACAACCAGCCAGGATCTTTATAATAAGAACAATGACCCTTAACCTTACAGGCACTATACTGCACAAGGATTAGATTATTAATGCATAACTTAATAATATATTGCTTAATAAATATCTGTAGTGCAACTTCAGGCTTTTATCACCTAAGATAGGTTGGGCCTAATTTTAGCCGATTGAAGGAAGAGGCATTGTAGAATCTCCAGACTTTGACCAACTATTCCCACTTTAGCTGGTTAAACATTGATTTATCTTTGATTTTTACTTCATTCGTAACACTCGCATATTGTATAAAATTGAGGGAAATAAGAAAAACTCACTCAGACATTTTGAGAGTAAGACCTCCAATTTGATTTTCTTCTAAAACAGCCATGACAACATACTTATTTGTCTTCATCAACTGATGGAAGTTACCATGTGAAATTTTAATAAATGCAGGGAATCTTTCTTTGTTTATCCAATTATGAAGCGTCATGTTGTCTTCTTCCAGATATTTATCTAAAACAAAATTATAAAACATGTTTTTAAAATTTAGCATTATACAGATAATTTTTTATTGTTTTTTAAACTGTTTTTTAGACTCATAAAATCTGAATATTTTGGTCTAAAATTGGAGGGAAATTTTTTATTTTATTTTGAGATTATTATTATATCACAATTAAAAAATATATATTACAAATGTATTTAAACATTTATTATTTTTTGTGCATATACCAACAGGGCCGGCCCCAGGGTAGGGCGATCCGGGCGGCCGCCCGGAGCGCGATGATCTAGGGGCGCCAAAATGATAGTTGATAAGATTGAGAGGCGGCAGGCGGAATTTATCATTTTTAATTCTAAGCACATAATTCAAATAATATAATATATTTAAACATTAAGGCAAAATCTAGTTGAATTCAATTCAACATGACAAGACCCCTCAACCACCGCCTTTCAATAATTGACAAGTTTTTCGGTCCGTGGTAACACGACTGTACAGGGAACAACAATTTTGAAACCTAGCGAAACAAGATCTAACAGCCCTTTTTAACTGCATATAAAAAGGAAGTAGACTTAAAACAATGCATTATTTGCCACTAGATTTCGGCTGGTGCGAAATAAAATAGTTTGTTTAAATTATTAGTGCAAAAAAGCTTTAAAAAAGTGCTTGTGGAAATTGTCCAGTGCGTTTGGCTTCTGTGAAGGTAAGTGTTTTAATTTTTGTTTTCATTTTTAAAAACGAATAAAATCCATCAGACATAAGCCAAAAAAAGGGTGGGGTAGATTTCAAAAATTAGAGTTTAGATCAAAACATGGCTTGTGTGTTATCAAATGAAAGGTAATTGAGTCTGGAGTTGAATAAAATGCATTTTATTTTTTTAAGCCAATGGCGCACAAGGGGGGGGGGGATTTCAAACATTAGAGTTTAGATCAAAAAATGTCTTGTGTGGTATCAATTTTTTTTTTTTGGCCAGTGGAAGTACCTACAATGAAGGGGGATTTGGTGTTAATCGTGTGAGCTTAGATGCCCATAAATTGTCAGAGTATTTTTCATTTTGTTTGTTTTAGTTTGTCCTTCGTATTAAAAAAAATTGGGTAGTTATTCTAATTCCAACTTCTTCAATATTGTTCAAAAGTTATATAAATTTTTTTCTTCCTCTTCTTTTCAATGGGCAATATTACGGAAATATATTGATACTTACACCCTAAAACCATTGAGTGATACGCGACATTAAAAGCTCTGCTGTTTCAAATTGGTCCAATTCACGATGCTTTGTACAGCATATAGATTCAGAAATCGATAATATGATCAGAGACAAGGCCAGCGGATTATTAAATAATTTGAAGGAGTTCAAATTTATATGCTCTGTTGTGATCTGGTACAAAATTTTGAGTCATATTAACCCCATCAGCAAACTTTTGCAAACTGTAAATTTTGATATGTCACAATCTATTGACATTTTTAGCAACTGCAAACTCTTCTTTGAAAACCTGAGATCAGATGAAACTTTTGAAAGCATCATTTTAGAAGCAACCGAGCTTGCTTCAGAGATTGACGTGGAAGCTAATTTCGAAACCACCACACCACGTCATCGTGTCAGAAGCAAAACAAGAACGTTTTTGTATGAGGGCCCGGATAAACCCGTTCAAGACCTCAAACAAAAATATAAAATAGATTTTTTTTCACACTATAGATCAAGCAATGCCTTGGAAATCAGATATAATTTGCTAAATACTCACAGTAATTATTTCAGCTTTTTGTATAATATTTTTGGTCTAAAAGATATGCCCAGAAAGGAGCTACTGGGTCATTGCAAAGATTTGGAAGTAGTTTTAACTGATGGAAATTCAAGCGATCTTAACGCCCTGGAACTAGCCGATGAAATAAGCATTGTTTCGTCATTATTAACAAAAAAGGAAACCTCTGTTGAAGTTCTCATGTTTATCGCTACACTTAAATTCGCACCAAACCTCAGCATAGCATTAAGAATCCTACTTACATTGCCAGTCACTGTGACTTCAGGGGAAAGAAGCTTCTCAAAACAAAAAATAATAAAAAATTATCTCAGAACGATGCAGACGATCGTCTCAATGGATTGGCAATGATAGCTATAGAACACCAAATTAGTGACAAATTAGACTTGAAATCACTGGTTCGTGAGTTTGCCGAAAGAAAAGTTAGAAAAAGGGCATTTTAATTACTTGGGTTAGTTAGAATTTATTTATAATACGGGATATTAGTTTAGTTAGCATTACTACATTTTAATTTTTGTTATTTTACCTTAAGTACTAAATTGCTTATCTTGTTATCTGATGATTGAGTTTTTAATAAAACGTTTTTTTCTTATTTATTTTTCAATGTTTTCTTGACTTTCTGATATGGTCGCATGAGACTTACTTAAAAAAAACGGGGGGGGGGGCGCAAAATTAAGGTTTTGCCCGGAGCGCCAAAATGTCTAGGGCCGGTCCTGATACCAATGAAAGCTTGCATAAAATATATTAATGTTTAATATTATTTAAAAACAATATTATATCTAAAGTATTTAATATTTCTAACTAAAATGGTTAAAATTATTATATAATTATTAAACTAATCACTGAAAAAATTAAATCATAGATGTTTTTATTTGAGCTCAATATTTCATGAATTTGTAAAGACAGAGGTCAAATTTGTCAAATATCAAATAGAGAACAAATTAATTTAGATCACGAAACATGAAAAAAAAATTATTCTAAATAATACTCATGACAAGTTATTCAGCATTTATATACATAAACTACATGTTTAAGAACTAAATTGATATAATTGCATTACATCTATTAAATGGAAAATTATTTTACATACAACTAATGGAAAGTTATAATTTAAGTTTTATGTTGTTTTTATCAACAATTAGTCTTTTTATTTTTTAGTCTATTTTATACAGCAAATAATAATTAACATAAAATATCGTCTCATTCTTTCTCAGGATAAAGCCTTTAATATCAATGAGATCAGACTTATAAAAAAATCACTACCTTAAAAATATACTTCTAAATTATAATAAATATTTTTTTTCTTCTTCTACTTAAATCAGTAATTTCTTTAGAAAAAAAAAATCAAATGATTCAAATCTTGCAAACCCTGACAATTTAACAGAACATTTTTCAAATCTGCCTTCCTAAATTGAATGAATTCATTGATTACACCTGTTTCTGTTTTTTGATCATTGTTTAGTAAATTTATTTAGAAATGAAAAAAGGTAATTTTAACAGATTTTTCTCTGGAGCAGAATTCAATATGCCACTACTCCAACACTATTTATTTTAATTAGAGAAAGAATGGATTCGTGTGGTGATGTGACAGGTAAGTTAGACAGTTTTAAATAAAGACTATACCATGTCAAAGATATGACTTGAACATTTCAATCTTAAAATTATTTAAAAAAAAACACTCCTTTTTGAAAAAAAATTACATTTAAAAATATTTTATCATATTATACATCAAATTAAAGTTCTTATAATTCTTTTTAAAATTAGCTTTGATGCAACTTTCTGGTTCTCACGGATAATAGCATTTTAACCTTAGATAACTGAATTTACTGTAGCAAATAATTTGACTGATGGACTAAAAAAATATGCATAATTTATATTTTATTTATGTCAATAAACTAGCATAGTTTAATGGAAACACTCTTAAATAATTATTAAAATAAAAATAAGTGATAAACTTTAACACTTGCAATTTTTAAAAATGTTAAAGTGTTACAGTAACATACCGATTACTAAAAAGCTACGGACTATACAAAGCATTTCTTATTTATGTAGGGTTATAGAGCTGTGGGCAAGAATGAAAAATTCTTATTCACTAATTTTAAAATTTAATAACTTATAAATAAAGATAGACTTTTCTTTTTTACCAGATCTGAATTTAGATTTTCTAAGAGTTTGATCATTTAAAATTGCATAAGAATCAAAGATAGTGTGTTTTTTTTCCCCTGATTGATGTGATATTGTATCACCCATTTCTATTATAGTCAATAACTTTTGTATTACCCTCATATTGAAAGCATGAGCCATCTTTACACACATACACAGCTTCTTCTGTTGGCACAGCAAGCCCTTCAACTTGAGCAATACACTGAACAGGAACAGTATAAAAACTTACAAAAATTTGAAAGTTTTCAGCAGCTCTTGTATAATTATCCTATAAACAGACACTTACATTACTTAATAAAAATACATTGCTTTGCAAAAATACAAAATTAGCATCAAAAGTTACAAATTAGTTTTAAAAATTTGCTTTTTTTTTCGAAATAAATTACGAATACACAACAGCAAATTAAGGGGTATTGAATATTTCAAAATTTCGAAAAACATTTTATTGCATTTTTGAATCTTTGTACCCTTCCTAATGTCTGTCCAAAACGATTTCTCTGTACCTAACTTCGTTTGGAAGTCATACCGGAAAATAGAGAGTCATCGCTAAGCAGGTAGAAAGGCCAGTTCGGCCGGATTGGGAGGGCGACATTCATTTTGTGTCTCATCCTTTCTGTTGACTGTATATAGAAACTTATTGTAGGCATTTCATTTATCATCCATTATATATATGAAATTAAACATTTTCCCCTACCATAAGTCAAAAATTTAAAAGCGTTTTTCTCAAAACGCTGTTTTTTGACCTGGCCTAACGTTTTTCTCATGATCTATTCAACGAAATAAGCTGTTCTTTATTTTAAATTACGTAAAAATATATTCTTTAGAAAGTAGCATAGGATTTTTTTTATATTAGTATTTTAATGAATATTTTTTTAATGAAAAACAACTTTTTTTTAAGTTGGTGCCATTTTGGTAATTTTGCGAATATCAAAAAACCTCTATGCTACTTTTTAGATAATACTTTTATGTTTTAGAACTTCTAAATCCATGAGGCCAGTGAGGTGCTACTTTTTGATGACCAGCCACACACGGAGCTGCCATCAACTTATTTTTTATTGTTTTGTAAAAGAAATTTTTTTAAAATGGACTTAAATTGAAGCTAAATAACATAAAGAAACAAGGAGACTCTGCATTGTCTCTACTACTTAAAAAAAAAAAAAAAATTCAAGAAAAACATTAATATTTCACCATCTCAGAGTGGGGTTCCCCCTTAAGTATTATCTATGAGTGAAAAAGGCCACAAGCACAAACATAAATCCTCAGAATATATTATTTGCATAATAAAAACAAGCAGTAGTAAAAAGTAGTATTTACACAATTGTTATAAGTTGGATAAAAAAAAAGATAAAAAAGAAAATTTGAGATATACATAAATTTATTATCATCTATCAAAATTTTAAGTAACAATCTATTGATTTTGTTGACTGATACAATTTGTTATAGCCACAGTTGCTGAAAAGCCTAAGCACTAGGTCACTAGAGTGACTAAAAAATCTAACCCTAGTAAATAAGCATTTTTAAACTGAAAACCAGAATATTTTGTTTATAATTAATAAATAAAGATTTTTCTTAACATCCATTCAGAAGAATCATAAAATCAACTTTTTTCTGCAATTCATATAACTTCATAGCTGGCACAATCTTTCATCACTCAATCTATAATTATTAATTTTAGTTGAAAATGAAAAGAGACTGTGCTCTACATATTATAAAATTATCTGACAAGAAATGCACTTCTGCAGATCCTTTTGTAAGCAAATACAATGAAAAAAATATTGAAAATATTAATATAGTTTGAAAATTAACATTGCTATAAATTAATAAAATAAGACAATTTGAAATCAAGGAATTTTAAACTGCCTCTAAAACAATACCAATCCATTCAAAATGAAAAAAGAAATTGATGATAGTGAGAACCCCCTTTTTTTTTTAATGTTTAGTATCTCATACAATTAAACTTTTAAAAAATCATATGCCTTTAATTTATTCACCTAAAAGACTATATTCTTTGCATTACACATTTTTTTCTGGAAAAAATTTCAAATTCATGATTACTGTGACACTCTTACAAGATATTTAAAGGACAAAGTTTTGTAAGAGAAAAATAGCTTAATATAAATAATAAAAATACTAACTTTAAGTACTTCTTTGTCTTCAATTTTTGCTCCATTTACATGGATAAAAAAGACTTTTTTGTCTCTTCTTAAAGTTTGAAATTGTTCACAGCTAGAAAAATGCCTCACAGCAGGTCTAAAAATAAACAAAACGAATAAAGCATGAGATATACTATCAATCTGAACTTTCAAGTCAACAAGTTCGATAAAGAATGAAAATCAATGAACTATAATCACATCCAAAAAGCAACCTTGTTTTAAAAAAATCATTAAGTTCCATTTACAAAAGTTAATCATAAGTTCCACTTAATATAAACAGGAGTAAAAAATTGTGAAAATTTAGTCACTGGTCTGAAGAACCAGCAACAAAAAAATACATCACATTTAAAAAAAAAAAATATATTTATTAGTATAGTAATATTTATGTCGATATTTTTGAAAGTGAAACAAGCCTACTTGGGAAGTGGCATAAGTCAGGGATGAGATTAGCCAAAACGCAAAAAAGCTGAATTTCCACAATAGTAAATTTTACGCAAGCGCAACCCTTTAATAACAAATTCCACAGTTTAAGGTAATAAATGATGTGTTGACATACAATTGTGTACTAATCTATTATTATAAAAACGATTACATTGATACTTAACATTTAGTGGAAAAAAAATTACCAATTGAAAAAATAAAGCTAAAAAATATATTTTTCCTCAGTTCACATAAGAAACAATTATTACTTGAAAAACTACCTGGTTTAACAAATTAAAATTACTGAGAATATACATTAATATTTCATTTCTTTTAATAAATACTGTTATGTGATTTATAGCAAATATATCAGTAATATTACTTTTTAAATTATATTGGAAAAAAAAACTTTAACAATGGACCGAATCATTATGTTCATATTATAGTCTAATCTAACTACAGCCCTCTGAAACATATCAATAACAGTGAAGGTTTTTTAGTAAA